AACAACCAGGAGAAGTGAGCGGAATCTTTTCAGTGATACCAGCTCATCCTTTGGCCATGGGAAATCAGGTGACACTCCAGCCCTCCTTCCCCTTTATTTTTGCCTTCTTATTTTCCCCTTTCTGGAAACAGTCTGATGTCCTGAGAGAGTGCAATTCACACTTAAGTGTTAGCAGTAGGTCCAGTGCTTACTTTAATTGCAGTGGAGTCATGTAAAAGCCACTATAGGTTTAAAAGAAAAACAAAACTTCCACTAAGGAAGATGTTGAAAGTACCTGTAATAAATGTAATTTTTTACTACTATTTTTATTGGTTTTTTATAGCAAAATACATCAATGCAAGAGCTCAGGTTAAGGTCCTGTTTTCTTTGCATAGACTGCAAAGAAGATGAAGTCCTCTAAAAATGGGAAAAAATAGGGCAGAATAGGAAAATATTATTCACAGGCACTGAGACTGGCACCAAGAAAAAGCAGCAGATACCAGACCCAACATGGAAAATAGCTGATACTCCTTCAGATGTGTCATGTGCCATGAGTCACTGTATGCAGAGGACCCCTATTAAGAAGAGGCACCATGCAGCTGCACTGTTGTGCTCCGTGTGGCACAGCTGCTCCTCCCTGCTGCTGGAGACAGCTCTGTGCTGGATGGAGCTTCAGCCTGGCCATGTGCTGCTGCTCTTACCCTTCCTGTAGAAAGTAGCATACACTTTCTAACTCTGAGGACTTACATTTGCAACATGTGAGACAGGCAAAATGGAAGAGGGGTAAAGTTTTTTTCAGGGAGAATTGAGTAAGAGGCTGTTCAGTGTCACCCAAGAAATCGGTGTCACAGCTGGGAGCTGAGTTAAGGTCTGGAGTCCTCTTCAGTGTCTGAGTTACAACGTAATGCTTTCCCCTCCATTAGCCACCAAAAATCTGTGAAGCAAAAGCAGAATTAATGGCACTGAGTTGTCAGCTTCAGAAGTGTCTGTTTTTCCATGGAAACCTCTTCCCAGCAACAGCCAAGCTTCTCATCGTGAGGGAGCTGTCAGGCAGCTGTTCTGTGCAAAATGCTGCAGCTGCTTTCTGGAGAAGTCTCAACCCACAGCCAGGCAGCACACAGCCCCATTCCCTGCAATCCAGCTGTAATTCTGCCTGCCTGGTAATTTTTCACAGTGGTCATGCCAGAATCATAGCCTTGTTTTCTCTTGTCTGGCTGTTAGTGGTGATGTATGAAGAAGTAAGAAAGACAGCTTAATTTTCATAAGCTAACTTGTGCCTGGAGTAACAGAGAGTGAGAGGAGTGCACTTAATCATAACTGCAGGACCAGAACAGAAAATGATAGAGCTTTTGCTGTTAGTTGTGGTATTTTATTATAATAACTCTTAGGAAGAAGAAACCAGAAGCTCAGAATGCTGAAAGGTTCAAATCCATTATAGCAGGCACCGTGTTCTCATCTGCTGGAAGAATAGCTCACATAACTCCTTTATGCTTGCCTTTTCCAAAAGGCCGTGCTGGGAGGGACCTCTAGTCTATGCTGCCCAGAAAACCTGAATTCAGACTGATGTAAGATCAGAGGTGAAGTGAACCTGGTGATATTTCCTGCAGAACTGTGAGCACCTTGCAGGGGAGGCACAAAGGGTGGCAGAGGGACAGGCTGGTTGTGCTCAGAGAGCTGTTCAACGTGCCTCATGTCTGTAACTTTGTGATGCACTTGAAAAAGTAAATAACTAAATGAAATAGCTGGTACTGGACAGATATTCTCACAATGATTCTTTAAAGAACAAAATTGCATTGAAACACTGAGTGAAAGCTTTTGAGTGAATTTTTAGTTGGTTGCAATTGAAAGGACAACGTGGGATTTTTTTTGTTTGAACTTTGAGATACATGGAATAATGTAGTCTATAGAGTATATATTATGCATCTGTATCATATGTAACATGAGGATGGTTCTACATTCTTAGATGTTATTTTTATATCTTCAGATCAAAATATTTGGGGAATGTCTTCCAGAAAATATTTCTGATTTTCTTTTTTTCTGTATTGATTCAGAATGAAAACCTTTTTGGAAACATTAATATTTACTATGCAGCTGAAGTTCTATTTTCTGGATTACTTATGCCTTAAATCAAGATCACAGAGACAATGTAAAGGGAAATAAAATATATTCTTTAGCAAGACAGCAACACTATTCCAGCCTAGAGAAAATAGAAATATAACTAGAGAAGATGGAAAGCATATCTCCATAATTTTCTCCAAGGTGGCTTGGGAGACAAGCTATCACATCTGCCTAATAGGCTTTTATGCACCAGTAAGAGTTACAGCAGCCTGACAAGTTGCATAATGCTCTACCCTAGGACAGTGTGTGAACGTGTGCACATTCCCAGGCCATTGCAAGAGCACACCAGAGCATGTTAGCTCATACATTTTTCTGTGTGTCTGTGACAAGCTAAGAGGGCATGTACAGGCAGTTTTTCCAGCTCAGTTGATACACACTAAGTCACATTATCTGATCCATGTATCTGAGCCTTAAAGCTTACATGATGTTCATTTCTGCCTTTGTCTGTGTCCCATACAAAACCTCAAGGAGTACTGGTGAAAGTGAGGTTTTTTTCTGGTGTCGTCAAAAATAAAGGGAAAATACAGAAAGAAATTATACAGCTACAGTAAATACATGCCAACATAATTTCCTGAACCTTTTTTAGTTTATCTTGGCATGAGAAATAATAATTGAGAGAAAAGTATTTCAGCAGTAAGTTACTGGAACTGAGATTTTGGACTGGTACATGGGAAATGAAAACCATTGACAAGCATTAAGGTTTGTTCATTTTTCCTTATCCATTGGTTTGAAGGCTGAAGTCTGTAGCATTTTGGGAAATCCATGAGGCTAAAATAATGAAAGCAGATTGATGCTCCGTGGTAAAGAAGTTTGGTATCTGCTTCTTGCAAATGGAATTCTGACATTTCTTTTGCTGGTAGCTGAGGAGGATCTGTGGACTGCTGGGTTGTGAAATGTGCTATTAGATTATGGACAGGGTCAGTCTCTTCCTACCAACTATGCCAACCCATTCCAGCCCTGCTGCACCTGCATTTTCTATTGTTTTGTTTTTTTTATTTCTCCTCATCCCTTATTAGCCAGTGTTTCTTATGTTGATTTATTCTACTTCAGCTGTAAGGGAGGGGCTATAAACAGGCAGACTTCCAGCTGGGAGTCAGCAAGTGTTGGCTTAAATTGTGTCCTTCGGCCTCTTTTTGCCTTAGGCTCCTTTCAGCCAGTTGAGATCCCTTTCATATTTCCTCACAGTATATGGCTTGTGAAGTCTGATGTGCTGTCCAGTGTGTCCCATGTGTCTCACAGGTTGAGAGATGCTGTCATTTATCTGTATGAACAGAGCTGCTTAGGATGTGTTTGCCTCTGGCTTGTAATTGCCTTCACCTGCTTGTGCATTGCACTCTGTTAGTATTACCAGTTTTCAGTAGTACCAATGGGTTTGATATGATCCTTTTGCTCTCTCCTAGCTTTTCCACCTTCTTTAAAATTTATTTATGGGCTCTAACATGAAAAATTGTATATACTGTATAATAAATATGTAAGGGAATAGGAGATACATCACTGGAAAATAAGGTGAGGAGCGTCATGTTGTCATTAGGATGATGCTAGAGTGGTGTGGAGTGGATTTGTTAATCTCTCAAAGTTATTTTTAGATTGATTTCCATTCACTTCTTGAAAAATTTCCTAGTGTTCTGGCTTGTTTTTTTTTTTAAATGCATTGGCCAATCACTGCTGCTTACACACTTTGAAACAGCATTCAAGACACATTGGGATTACTGACATTCCACTGAATTGCAGATAACACAGGAGAGTGTATTGCAATCACCTTTCAAGCCAGTTATAAAATTGAGTTAATCATATCTGTCTCTGTGTCTTGTTCTCAGCCCAACCTTTGTATTGAACCATACTGAAATAGCTGTGGTTTTATTTAAGCAACATACAATGGTCATTTCAGGCTTGCACTGCACTGCTGTGACAATGCACACAATTTTACAAGCATAGCTGAGATTTGAAAACGAGCCTTCAAAGCATGATGCTTAATTGCTTTCTCAAAAGATTGCAAAATAATTTCCAGTACTAGTCTCAGTGCCCTCACTGAGCATGTCCCTCTTTCAAAGCACCATTCCTTTTACTTTCTCTGACTAGATCCAAATGCAGTTCTCCCCTTCCCTCCATCCTCCATTACCACAGAATCCTTTCAATCACTTCTCTTATTTACATTTTATACACCACATTTTAGGATACATAATTAAGTCCTTATCTATACAAACATTCATTTCTCGGTTGATTTTTAAGCAGTGCAAACCTTCTAGACACATTTGATTTAAAATACGTTTTACTCTAGCTGAAGCCAGCTGCTAATCAATGCAAGATAAACTGAAATAAAACTGAAGTCATAATTTCTATGCAGCATTCTACACAGGCTCACCCAAATGACTTCTAAATTACTCTCTTAAATTAAAACAGTGCAGCTTTCTTATGTAGGTAAACTTTTCAAATCCCGTATTTTTTGAAGCAAAAGGGTCACTCTTTTTTCTCAGTCACTCTTTGTGACATTGAGCCTTGTTCTTCAATTATGTTATCTCCATCAGAGTATGAACAGATCTTCATATTAGATGATCATTTTACCAACACTTAATTCTCACTAGGAGGATTCTCCATCATTGTATTCTAAAATCAAGCAGCATTCAGATTTGTCTGGATGACATATTTCTGTCAGCGTGACAAAGGTTCCCACAGTGTTTAATTACTCAGGCTAGCCAGGGAAGAAATGAGCCATGCTGAATTTATGTTCCTGGCCTGCTTGTCTGTTACATAAGCTGGCTTCTTCTGAAGGCATGGAAGGAAGGCAGCACCCCATCTTCTGCCTTCTCCTTCCACTGGTTGTCCCTCTCCAGATTTCCTGTGTTTTTTCCATTTATTGACTGTCTTATATCTTATGATATTCTTGCAATTTGCTCATTTTCCAGGGCAGCAAGTTCTTGGCTTGGTGGAGAACCAGAGTGATTGGTATTTGGGCAATCTCTGGAAGAACCATCGGCCCTGGCCAGCGCTTGGGAGGGGCTACAACACAGGTAGGACCTGAGGGTTTGCTTTGAATTAACACCTGCAGCCAGTCTCCTGGCACAGAGAGTATGAGATGCAGTAACTGGCACCTCCCTTCCTAAGCTATAGCTAAAATTATCTTTCTGAAAAGGAAAAATGATGCAATGTAATGCATTTTGGAATTTCTGGTCTTCTCTAAATGGTGTTAGAAAAGAGTGTGTGACATTCTTGGGGAGAAACAGAGCTTTTCAGCGAATCTGACAGGTCCTCAGCACATCTCCTACAAGATTTCTGTCCACAATGATTTGTGACTTGTATAAAGGCCCAGCAAGAGGGAATGAATAGGAGTTGATAGTTTTATGTAGAGAAATAAATGGTATCACAAAATGTGAGCCAAATAAAGATAATAACCCCTGCAGGACACCAACTGGGTCATAATTGTCCTAATAAAATGCAAGCTACTGGCCTTCAGTTTCTGCTGCCATGAGAAAGGAATAAAGGCACTAGATCAGAGAATTTATTAGGTTACAAGAGACAGGTCTTCCCACTGATTTGTGTTTGGTATGTGAGAAAACATACCAGGTGCATACAGAACACACACATACACCTAAATCATTTCATTGCGGGCCTTTAAATGCTGATGCAGTGAGTTCAGTTCTCTCTCTCCTTGTAATAAAAGGGCAGAACAGATGGTGAAGCCTCCATTTGGAACAGATGAGTCCATTTAAATATCCCTGAACTATCAGGAAATTACTCACCATAAAAGTGATTTTGCTTCACAGAAATAGATTGGATTAAATTAAACAGACTGACTAGAAAAAGGATTGAACAAGTTGTGTGGTTGGGTCATCTGTATTTCTATATTCTTATGTATATTTGTGGGAATCCCACTAGTTTTTGTGAATGTGTAGTTTAGCCTCTGCAGAGCATCTTTGTTCTCTGGAAATGTTCAAAAGAATAGCCTAACAGAACACAGATTGGTGTGGAAACAAGATCTTGGCAGAATAGGTTTGTTTCCTAACTCTTCTTTGCCAGAATTGCAAGTAGAAAGGCTAGGTCTGCCCACCCCTGTTCCCCAGCCCCCTCAAAGCATGAGACAGAGATAAGTTTCATGGATTTTTCCTGAAATCTGAAAGCTTGTGTTATACACAGTTGAACTTGTTGGTGTCAATTCAGTTCACTGTTACACCACAAAGCAGTATCTTTTGTTCTACTGAGAAATGACCACCTTCTTATAGCTACCTTCTTTCTGCTGTATTTTTCCTTTTTCCTTTCTGCCATTCTAATGCTGGCAGAGAGAATCTGGCACAACCACATAAGATCAGAATAATGCAGTAATGTATGGTGGGTAGTATAAAATACATATATTTATATCTAAAATGCTAACGTTAAAAAAAAATCTGTAAGGCTTTAACTTATGCTGTCTTAACTTACTCGTCCAAATGGTTTATAGGAATACCAAATGTCAGTATCACATAAACCTAACACTGAAAGCAAAAATAATCAAATATCTGCAGTCCTTCACATACACTGCATGTGTTTATTCTTGTATTAATACATATCTATCAAGCCATGCAAAATCCCATAATCCTGCACAAGATTTTATTTTCCTCGCAATTTCTTTCTTCACACAACTTACCTTGTAGTTATAAAAACTCTTTTTTTAGAAAAAAAACCAGAAGGTAGATAATGTATGGAAGATTGACAAGTGATCATAAGAAGTGGAATGTTGTTTTTCCAAGGATGTGGAACAAGAGGTCACCGAGTGAAACAGTGCAACCTCTGAGAAGTAGGAAACGAGGTTATTGACAGAATCAGCACCCTTTAATACAAATTCCTTGATTGAATTAATTGTTTGCCTCAGTAATCTAGCAGAGACTGGAGGTATACATTTCTCAGGGAAGATGAGATTGGGTCTTGTGTAATGAGTTCAGTAAATAAAAATAATTGACACTGAATGTAACAGTGTGGCCAAGGAGGATTCAGAAAACTGAAGCAGGGGGACTCCGAAAAGAGGGGCAGTATCTCTAAGCAAAACACTCATGAAGGCAGCAGTCCAGGAGGGGGAAGGCATGGAAATCAGTGCCTAGAGCTGTACTTAGGAACTCCGAAAGGGCCCCCAAACCCTGAAACTTTAATGAGCTAAACAGAGCTGGATCATGGGGAGGCTCTCAGACAGACTTTGCTCTTGCTCTTGGGAGAGTATTTACTACAGACCTAGGATACAATCCTAGGAAAAGAGATTTTTATGTGAGCCTCTTCAGCCAGACCTAACCCTGGCAGATTTGATTTTGAAGCACCTCTCAAAGTCAAAAGTGCTCTACTGCTCCTCACAGTTTCTGAAGATAATTTCTTTTTCACTCTTATCTTTCTATGCCTGAGCCTCTCTGGACAGCATATAGGTTGGGAGAGTCCCAGAAGGCAGGTGTATTAAAGGCAGGGATGTGTTTGTTCCTTCTTCGCTGGTTCTTTAAACCCAGTAAGAATTTGCACTCCTCTCTTCCTTATATGCCCAGGACAGATCTCCTGACAGCCAGCACAGATTTTCAAGGAAAGATTTTATTTGGTTGTTTTTCATTCTTCGTCATTTGCACAGGCAGATAATCCAAGTCATACTTTAGTCGATGATAATATAATTGTTGAAAAGCCAGACCAAACCCAAAGTCAGATGATTTAATTAGTGTTTAAGGTGTTCTTAATTATAACCACTCTTTATTTGTGATAACATTCTCTTTCTCAAGCATTTTAAATACAATTCCCTCTGTACCACAAAGGTTTCCAAGTTTTTTTCTGTACTCTACTGGCAAACACTCAGTAAGCAGCTTAATCAAATGCCCTTTTAATGTATCATCCACTCCATGCTGATTGTCTGCACTGAGTTAACTCTTCGAGATTCCTCATACACTAATTCAAGCACAATTTCTTGCTGTGTAACTATATTATCTTTCACTGACTAAACTGTGCTTTTAAAAGTATTGGTACACTATGATTTTTCTTTGTACAGATGTTAAACTGACAGCTTCAGAGTTGCACTGTATAGTTTGACGTTCATTTCGGGAGTAACAGTCATCTTAGTCCTCAGAAAAGTATCTTATAAAAGAATTTCTAAACATAAAAGCTTTTAGTATTTTTTTTAGTACTTTTTGTCTGTCTTATACTTTCCATCATGGTGGAGAATAGCTTTTAAAAGCAGTCTCTGGTGACTGTTAAGGCTTCTGGCCACTCCTTCAGGGGGGTGATTCACCCCTGGCTTCTCTAGCTTTAGTGCAGCAGAGCCAACTTCCATCAGCTGAGAATGGACCCCATGCCTGCCAAATGGAGCTTTGGGATAAATCTATAATATGGGTGCTGGGGGTAATTTTAAAAAACTTTGGCCCTGGGGATTTCAGACTCCTAGACTACAGAAGCCATACTGAAGATTTGAGGCTCAACTGAAATGCACTGGCTCAGTGGAGCCACCAGAAACTATAAGGAGGTGTCTCAACAGCTTGAGCTGAGAATTCATACTCCCACACTGGGAAATGTGACATTACCAGATTTGTGGATTGGGAACAGAAGGGAATGGCTAGCACCTAACGATTACTAGGCTACATGTGTACTGTGCCTTATTACTCCTGTGTTTGTAATGACTGGAAGAGTGCTAGAATTAATCTCTCTCCTTTATTGTTTCCCTAAAAAAAAGGACCTGTGGAAGTGGAATTGGAAATTGAAAGCATGTGTTACGTCATTTTTGCATTATATTTGACAAATTTAAATGATGAAAGACAAGCATAGAACAGACTGTTTATATGAAATAAGCCTGGATCACATCTTGTGCTCCTTCATGATGATGCTGTGCATCTTCAGTGCAGAAAACAAATGACTGGGAAGCAGTGCAGAGTGGGCTGTTGGTAGTCAGGGCACTGCCTGTGGTCCTGCTCCAGACACCTGGTAACAACTTTCCACCGAGCTCCACAGGCTTCTGCTCATGACATTGTGGTAATTGTACTCAAGTATGTTGGCTGCTTGAGAGAGGAGGATGTTGTCAAATTGTCTCAGTGAATGAAGAAGTCAGAAAAGTCGTGGTTTATAGAACCTTTTAAGCCCACCATGGTGGCCTGACCAAGCTTAGCCATGCCCCCTCTAACGCCATTGCAATATTCCTGTCTGCCATTAATCCGAACAGAAGTCATATTTGGTAATAGAAGAGCTGTCATTAGGGTTAGGTCAAAGTACCTTTGCAGCCTTTGCAAACAGATGAAAAATGTTTTTTAATGATTAAAAAACCAATGTCCAACACTCATGACAAGTCAAAAAGCAGCACTTTCTTCATCTACTTAGGTTCACACTGTGCCAGTTTTTTGGATTAGATTTTTCTTCCTTTAAGACACTATGAGTTTACTCAGTAAATATTGTTCTCAGTGCAAAGCATGGTGATACACATGAGCTTTATACATATATGTAAAGGTGCCTTTGAAGTACAAATACTGTGCACATTGTCCAGGTAGCAGTTTAGGAATGCCAGCCTCTTGTTGCTTTTAGTCTCCACAAGAAAGATCAGTCTGTTTGTGTCAAAGGTGGGAAGCTAAAGCAATAATTCTGCTTTTTGATGACCACATGCCTATCTTTGTTGTCTATAATCTGTAGCTTGCTCTTAAAAATAAGCTATCTTAAAGCTGACTATCCTCAAAGAATAGCTTCATTTCAGGTCTTTCTCATGCCCTTTCTAAAGCATGTGATGTACTGAGAACTTGTTTACAGCATATTTGACATTTCTGAAATGAGGGTCAATATGTCTTTGATTTTGAAAATGAGGTCTCTAGTTTGAGAGGCCTATCCATGTCGCAAGGGCATTACTGTGGCTGACTTAGTCTACTGTTCATGGCATTCTCTCAGATACCTCCTCTACTCCTTAGCAATTTCATGTCTCAGCCCCTGCAAAAACCGTTTTTAAAAAACACCATCAGACTTGCTTTGAAACACTGAAAACATTTATCTTGTAGGAAACCTGTGATTAAAAAAGATGGCATCTAGACAGTCTATACCAGAT